CTAATTTCCTAACTTATAAAGAAAACAAACAAAACCTAATTTGCGATCTGTTCTGAACTCTTTTATCACACTATGACCCACTAATAAAGTTCCCAGAGCTGACCAGAACCACTATCCCACCCCAGCCAGCCATTCATTGCCACTGTTACATATGGATTTGCAAGTAACTCTTTCTTTTCTTTATATCCACTGCCTCATTCCCTGCTCTACACACACTATTGTCTTTATACTCTCCACCAAAGTAAGCATAATCTTCAGCCTCTACCTCTAAACAAAATTTGGCATCAGGAGACTGAGAAATTTAAGAATGGCATGGAAATATCTACTGCAGCACATCAAAGAATAGGTGAATTTTAACACGATGTTTAGGATAAATCTCCAATTCATTTAACAGCAATCTATTAAATGCCTACTTTGCAGTCATTTTGGGGAATACAAGTAAGATTTGTTCCTTGTTCAAGGAGCAGAGGTTTAATAGAAGCTCTTACTGCTGGGCCAGAGTATCAAGGGCCAGGACTTCCCATTGACCATGGGCAAACCACCAGTTGTCTACATTTCCAATGACTAAAAATAACCAGGGCTTGCATGTTATAAAATTTAAGTAAAACTGACTTGAAATACAAACTAAATTTTTCTGTGCTTAATTTGAATTAAAAATGTTCCTATTTCTGTCTCCTCCTTTTTGTCTTTTGCTTTGTGGGCTGTTTTCCTAGCCTTTTTCCTGGTGATTTCAAAGTTTAGTCTTTCATTCCGCTAGTGGTCACTTTGAAATACCATTTCTGTACTCTAACAAAGTAGAGGATAAATTGCTTATTTTTACCTGTATTTAAAAGCTCATTTTCCAGTTCTGGCTAATTTTGAAGTTTTAGACCCTGATGGTCTCTTTACATTGTGTCATTTCTAAAAGCAATTCTTTAATGTTTACTTACATTGGTTAACAAAATTTCACTTATTTTGTCATTCTGAAGGTTGACTGATAAGGACCTACATTTTCTAGAATGTTTGCAAGGATATTATAAGCTCTTCTCGTCTGAGAAAATGTTTTCTTTAAAACCTCTATAAACTGGCACTTAAATACCATAGGAAAACATTGAGACAGTTCAAGTATGTTCTATTTTTTCTCATTGAATTAAGTATTTTCCTTAACTCATTCATTTCACTTATGCTGTCTGAAAACAACTCTTAAGTAGTTATGTATGCCTGGAACTATAACTATGTCCAAAACCAACACAATTCCTTAAGACACAGAATGACCTCCAACAATATCCAAGTCCTAATCCTAGAACCTGCAAATGTGAAGCGTTACAAGCAAAGGGGAATTAAGACTGCCAATCAGCTTACCTTAAAATAAATTATTTCTAAATATTTGGGTGGGCTCAATATTAATCACAAGGGTCCTTAAAAGTGGAAGAGGGAGATAAGAGAGGTCTGTGTGATGCAGACGCCACCTGCTGCTGCTAGATTTGAAGATGGAGTAAGAGACCGTGAACCAAAGAAGGCATAGTCTTCAAACGCTGGAAAAGACCCAAAAAACCTTGCCTCCCCTAAAGACTCCAGGGACTATTTCAGTCCTGCTAACACCTTAATTGTAACCTAGGGGGACCTGTGTCAACACTCCTGACCTACAGAACTTTAAGTTTTTAAGCTATTAAAAGTTTGTGACCTTTGGGAGCCCGAGATGGGCAGATCACAAGGTCAGGAGTTTGAGACCAGCCTGGCCAACATGGTGAAACACCCTCTCTCTACTAAAAATACAAAAATTAGCCAGGCATGGTGGCGCATGCCTGTAATCCCAGCTACTGGGGAGGCTGAGGCAGAATCGCTTGAACCCAGGAGGCAGAGGTTGCAGTGAGCTGAGATTGCGTCACTGAACTCCGACCTGGGTGACAGAGCAAGACTCCGTCTCAACCAAAAAAAAAAAAAATTGTACTTGTTGAAAGCATAACGTTAACGAATTCAAAGTAACAAAATATCCAAATACATAAAAGCACAAATTGTAGTTAAGTAATTTGAATAAAACATGGCAGATTAACTGAATAGGGGAGAGCAGTCAGAAAAGGCTTTGAGGAAGTAATATTTTAGCCGAGATCTAGAAGCAGCAGCTGCATCAGCCCTGTCAAGTGCGGATGAGAGCAGAGGCCTGACAATGTTTGCCGCTCAGACTTGTGCTCAAGCTATCAACTTTATGAAAATACTCTTGCTTCCCCTCTCCCACCTCTACCCTCACTAAAATCTGTGCCCCCAAATGTTAATATTGTACTCTCATCTTTCAGTGACCCATGCCACCAACCTGCCTAGGTATCCTGCATGCTTCAGGGAGGGAACAGACTTTCAGTGGTACTGTCAACAGACATGGTACACAAGGGTCAAGCCTGAATGTGACTTTGTCCCTCAGACCAAGTTCAGGTGGGCAGAGTGGAGCACAAAATTCACTTTGAAGGTTGAAGAAAGGTTTATTTTCCAGCTGGATGTGAATGTGATAGCTATGACAGCTACCTTTTTGACCAAGATGGGAAAGCCTACCTAAGCTTACAATTTTGGGGGAAAGACACACACTCAACTTGCCTAAGCTGTTAATGGAGGAAACTGGTACTTGGAACCCAGAATTCTCCATCCTAAACATTATATAACACTGTTAAGACTTCTTAATAGTTATTTAAGCTTCTCAAATAGCCAAGTACTACATGACTCAAAAAGAATAGAATTCAAGTTTTAGTTTACATTTGTTTCCTAAAATTAATCTGAGGTGCCTTTCTCAACTTCCCTTTACCGTCATCCGTCTTCTCATGTCACGTACAAACATGAACTGGCATAAACATCTTTTCTAACTTTGAAATTTAGATGCAGTCTTAAGAGTATGAGAAAGTACCATTTTGACAATTATTTTGAGGGTAAGACTAGAAAACCGTGGACTAACTTTTAAACACAGAATCAAGGGACTTTTAGATGAAAGCCTTAGACGAGAATCTAAATGCTGAAGACAACCAATGTCTAAAGACATGGCTTGTACCTTGTGCACCTTACTTGTTCAGAATGATGGTGGCCACTGGTGACAAGAGTCAACCAAGGAAATCCAGGTATAGCACAAAGACAACTACACACCTGGCCTGTTAGGTGCTGTTAACCAAAACAAAGTATCATTGGAGAAGAAAAAGAGAAGTTACTGAAATTGGAGAGTAAGGAAAAGCCTGTGGATTTAGAAATAAATGTGGGGTTGGAGCACGTATTTTTTCAGCCAGCTGTAAAACTGAGTAATGACTGCATGAAACAAAGTTTACTGAGTCTCTTACCTGCATATAAATTCTAAGGTGTTTTGTTCTTCTTCTGCATTCTTATAGCTCATCATTTCCAATAATTCAGGGTAGCAGATAATATTCTTATGTACAGCAAAATCAACAGGTATTTCTCAAAATACTTGTCTGCGCAGCATCCTACCCCACAAAGATTCTAGTCTAATGCAGCTAGATTAAGGTTCCAGGTCTTTATGTCTTAATAATTTTAAGACAACTGGTTAAGAACCTTTTCTTGGTAAATGCATAATCACTTTAGAATTCCTATCACCACCTTACAGGACCCCAATTTTCATCTACTCTCGGAACATTCACTAGTCTCATCGTTACCCCAACCTGCTGAATAGTGTGGTATTCAATCTGGATCAGTACATCTCAACAAGTGCAGAACTGATGTTGTCAAAGTTTTTTTCAATGTTTTTCAGTCTACATAAGTTGAAGTCAACATTAAATGTACTAAAAACTTCACAGTACATGTGCTTTTATAAACAAATGTATGACAATTAGTACATGCTCACCTCTACTGAACGTATATACTCACAAATCTAGGTCTTAAAAGTAAACATGCAGTTATTAAGGATGTATATTCAACCTGAGATCTAATTAATAATCACTTAGGAATATACTAACATTTCATTTTGGGGAACTTACTACCAAACTCAAGTCTTTGTTATTTACCTTTATACCCTGTTAAATACTTGTCCCATCAGTGACTAATGCATTTATGTTGGCATTTACTTAAGTCAGCCCTATGTATCTGTGGTTCCTGCATCTAACCACAAACAGATTGAAAATAGGAAAACAAATTTCACAAAGTCCCCAAAAGCCAAACCTGATTTTGCCACACACAAATACTATACTGAATCTACATGAATATTGTCCAGGGTATTTTATCAGGTTACTATACAAGCAATATATAGACAGCTTAAAGCACACCTAAGGACGTGTATAGATTTACATGAAAATACTGCACCATTTTATATAAGGGACTTGAGCATCTGAAGAATTTGGTATGCACTGAGAAACCTACCAATCCCTCCATCGATACTGAGGGTCAACTACGCTACAAGTCTGCATGAGCCTAGAATTCTTGTGTTACTGTCCATAGGCAGGCACAACCTCGTACCTTATTTAAAAAACATTTACAATGATTCTTTGAACTTTTAGAGCTGCTCAGAACATACCGTTCTCATTTAATGTTTTATAGTACAGACCCATTAACAAACATTCAACCCAGGAGCCAATAAGTATTTGACATTTATTAGAAGCAGGAGTTTAAGACTTTTCATATACTTTGGCCTCCTCTCTTAAACTTCCATGTTATCAACTGGCCAAAATACACACAAAAAACAAAAGAACTCCCACCTTATTAACATGTGTATAATACAAACAAAATGAAGATGCCTCAGACTTATCAAGATTTAAGGAAACTCAAGTGTGATCTGAGAACTTGTCAGATTCCACAAAAATACTAGGCAGAGGATAACCTTTTAAAATTCTGACATATTTTAATCCAGAGTCCATTTACTACCTTTCCATTCTGTTTGAAAATGAACTTCTGATCTCATATGTACATATTTCACAGGTAATGAAGGTTAAATAAGAGAATCCAGACAAACAACTTTGGTCCTTGTCTTCATTTCCCCAATTAATTATTAAGTAACAACTTTTAGACCATCTATAGTGACAAAACAAAAACGCCATCAAAACTGCGATAACCTTGAAGTTTTTATTTCAATATGCTCGTTCCAGACAATTTCTTAACAGCTTTAAAATGCAGTATTTTATTTATTAACATTAAATGCACTACAACTCCAACAGCCAGACCAAACTGTAAATACAGAATTAGGCACATCTCAATGTTGTGTCTGTGTTTACATTATTGGATAAAGAAAATTAAGCATTCTTCAACCTTTCTATGGGTCTTATTTATGGAACATGTGCATTTTCCTAATGACCCTTTAAAATACCACATATGGAATTTAATTTATCAAGGCAGCAAACTACATTAATTTCGACTTTAGTAAGAATGTAACTCATACAACCACTAAGCTAAAGAATAATCTGAAATCTCAAGTGGGCATGATGATCTTATTTCATCAAACACCAAAGCCTGGCTCTGTGTATATTAAGCTCTCCTTACCTTTATTGCTCAGTTGAGACTCTTAATTCTCTAAAGCTAGACAAACTATGCAGAAGTGTCAATTCAAGTGTATCACCAAATACATAATAAACTTTAATGTGACACTGAGTTGTTCTCCAGAAGTTGCAGGTTGCATTTTGTCAGGAGTCAGTGTGTCTTCAAACTACAGGAGAAAACCCAAGTCTGGCTTGTAGTTAGGTTTGCCTGTAAAATGAAGATCTCAAAGTTTTCAGTAAAATCACCAATACTTTGCAAGCAGCTTTAAAAAGAATTCCTAAAATGTTAAGTGCTTTCTTTCCAAATATAGGCTAAAAATAGAAAGTTGTACATGCAAACGCCAAAAAATAAATAAATAAATAAATAAAAGTTGACCCATTTTTTTCCCCTCCAAATAGTTAAAGCTATCTATTAAACCTGAAGCAACATGACCTCTTAAGTATCAAGCAACTTCAAGGTTAAAGCATTTTAAGAACAAGAGTCAAAACTGTTTTTTCTCAGGTCAGAGATGAGGCCATTATTAACTTGTTCACTCATATGAATTTCAAAATGGCTAAATTAACAACGTGAATCTTTTTATACAATACTTACATGGCTTTTTGTTGGCATTCCTAAGAAAATCTTCATAGAACCAAGAATGTAAAATTAGACTCACATTCTAAAGCCAGAAACAAATCAAAAGCAATTCCTATTAAACTCTATAAAACCACAGATCACTACCAATCCCACAACAAAACATATACATTTTTTTTTTTTTTTTGGTAGAGACGGGGTTTCACCGCGTTAGTCAGGATGGTCTCGATCTCCTGACCTCGTGATCCGCCCATCTCGGCCTCCCAAAGTGCTGGGATTACAGGCTTGAGCCACCGCGCCCGGCCCACATTTATTAACTTGCTGATTAGATTTAAATCTCAGTTCAAGCCCAAGTAAGTTCTGACACAATGAATACTACAGTTTCAGTATCTAGGGAGAAAAGCCATTTAAGTCTTTGATATTATAACATATTTGACTACATTTTAGACTATTTAAGGAATCATGAAGCAGGCTTCCTATCACACTGTTCCATTTTTTTTTTAATTGCTAGTATATTTCCCCAAAAGCTTTAAAGTAAAATGACATAGTCTGACAAATGTAAAACAAAATACTTTCCTCACTTATAACCACAGCACACCATTTTGCAAACTACCAGAACATGCTATATTATGATTTTTTTTTTTTTTCCTAGAGACGAAGTCTCGCTCTTCTGCCCAGGCTGGAGTGCAGTGGCAGGATCTCAGCTCACTGAAACCTCCGCCTCCCCGGTTCAAGTGATTCTCCTGCCTCAGCCTCCAGAGTATAGCTGGGATTACAGGCACATGCCACTGCACCTGGCTGATTTTTTACATTTTTAGTAGAGACAGCGTTTGACCATGACAGCCAGGTTGGTCTCCAACTCCTGACCTCAGGTAATCCGCCTGCCTCAGCCTCCCAAGGTGCTAGGATTGTAGGTGTGAGCCACCGGGTACAGCCGCAACTTTTTAAGCAGAGTTTTAAAGCTGTGTTTGTCACCAAAATAACCAAAAAGACACAATTATTAGGTCTCCTTCAATTCAAAAAGCTTAAGAACTCTGCTAATGTACAATTTGATTTCCATTTTATAAATCACTGTTCATTTCACATCCTGCAAATCTTTTCATCATCTCCAGAATGATGGAATTCTTACCTTTGTATTCAGGAATCCAAGATTAAGTTCCTTAAATTTCTTTAAGAACACATTAGAGGTAAAAACTTTAGTTAGACTTCACACAATATTTTTAAAAGCTGATTTCTAGATTTATTGGGTGGTCTAACCTACTGTTATGGAAGTTTATTTCTTATTACTAAGATAGCCTCTTTTACTCCAAAATACAATGACATTTCTCAAACCTTATTTTTTAAACATCAAGTTTGCCTGTACTTCGGCTTGGGTCCAATTTTACCACTTGGTTCTTTTAAATCTATTATTCAGGTATTCCACATTTTTTGACACATATACACATAGGTTAGAGACAAAACACACGAAGAAAAGAGAGAAGGCAGAAATGTTGGATAAAACACTAACTGCTGCTTCTTAGTTTCCACTTCAGTGATTAAGTAAGCCTGGAATCAACTATCACTGTTGCCAAAGTCTGGCTTATGTAGGGAGTAGGGAACATAAATGTTAACTACAGACTTAGAAATAAATGAGTATCTGAATCTCGACCCACCGCTGCACTCTTGGCATTTAGGAAGAGTGTACACATACATTTATCTGTTACTCTATTTAGCATGAGTGTGTTCTTTTTCTAACTCCCATTTTTTTTAAGTTGCAGATGCTAAAAGCAGTCTGACGACCTTGGTCATTTACAGCTTATAAATCACTGACAATCAAAGAAAAACTAGTATACGAGCATTTAACAGTTACACATCAGTTACTCATGTATTGGTAAAATAGTACTTGCTTAATAGAAACAAACTGTACCCACCCTAAATTCCATGCTTAAAAAAACCCATCTTTACACATTGCTTTAAACAGAGCAGCATTCTCTCTAAATTAAAAAACTTGAGTAATATATGAACAACATAGATTAACTTTTAGATTAAGTAAAATATCCTGGAATAACACTAACTCCAAAGAAAGCAAAAAGGTATATTCTAACTTTACAGATGATCATCATGTATAAAGTATGTTTAGTCACATCGCAATACTTAACAAATAAATCTAACAACAAAAAATATAACCAGAATTTATACTGCCAAATCTGACACTCAAACCCAAAAGTGAAATGTTTTTGGATGAAAACAAGATGTATTTAAACAAAAAGTTACACATTTTCTTTAATATTTCATATCTCTTGAACATTTAACAGTGGAAGTCGGAATCTTCAGTAATATTTAATTTTCACAATCTTCTGGTCACAATCCCCACCAAACTCAACAGGCCGGGACAAGTGCAATACCATACAGAAACACAGCATTGCAACCGATCCCAACCTGTGTAGAAAGGGGTTTGAGTTTCCCTTACTTTTCTACAGACTTTTCACTACCACAGTCAGTTTTGCATGGATTTGCACAGCAGAATATCACACAGCTGGATGCAAACCTGCAAAACTAACCATAGAACAGTGTTCAGTAACAGGACAGTTTGATTGGGCGACAGGCCGAAGCTGCAGTTCTACAGCTAGCAGTACTTTAAGTGCTCATAATGCAGTAGATAACTAAACACTACCTGCACTATAAGCACTTTAGTGCTACAGAAGCTGTCACACATCAGATACACCAGGCAGATTCTACATCGACACAATAAAAGTACACAAAATTAGTAAAAATCATTCATTTGAAGGAAATAGCAGGCCACCATCAGTTTTGCATAGATTTGCACAACTACATTCTTCTTGTAGTGCAACTATGCAAAACTAACAGAGGACTGCAAACAAAAACTATTAAAACACCTATATACTTGCTTGACTTGAATTATTGGATGAATACATAACTTCTTATGCCAGAAGGAGCACTTAGGGCAGTAGATGCTAATCTACTTCACTATCTGCACTAGATGCACCTTAGAACAAAAAGCACTCAACAGCAGCAGGCCCTGCACTTTAAAGCCCAACTTGGCTTCCCGAGGCAACTGTCACCATAATGCTACAAGTGCCTTCACTGCAGTAGATGCACATATCACTACCTGCACTGTAAGCACTTTGACATTATTCTGACTGGTCACAATCTTCAGTTTTACAAGGTGATGTTCTCTTTATTCCTGCTAAATTTGAAATAGATAATTAGAATTAACACCTCCAACTCTAACAACTATAAACCATACAAATTCAGCATAATCCCTAATGGGTAAGAGAAAATTAGTTTAATTATCTCAAAGATATGAGGTCCATTTAGACACGTATTTATGCCTTAAGAATTCTTTACAGAAGGCAATCATAACCAACCATCCAACTAGCACTGGAAGTGGTGGCTCTTCCAATGGCTGGCCTCTCCCAAATGGATTGATACATAGAGAAAAAACAAAACAAAACAAAACAAACAAAATAGACTGCAAATAAATGAGAACTAATTTTGGAACATTTAAGGGCAATTTAGTCCATGTGTACCTTTTAGAGGAAGTCTTCACATCCACGTGGCAAAACATTTTCCTCTTCTTCTGGCTTCCACTTAGCGAATACTTGATGAAATGATTAACAAAATTACTGTTCAGACTACATTTCAAGTGTTACCAGTCAATTGTAGCAGAACTTAAATATCCTGTTTAAATCTATCATCCCAGGTTATATCTACTTTATCACCCAAAAGGATCTAAAATTGTTATTTCGTAAACTGCATAAGCCAGTTTCCAAAGATGTGCAGGGATATTTACACTGTAATTTTACTAACTTAAAATTAACAAATCCGTACTTAATGAGCTAGTTTTTCAGAAAAAGTAAATTGTCTAAAGTAAGAAACACCTTTTACTAAGAACCCAATCCTATAATATTTATTCAACTTTACTATAATAGCAAGAGAAATTTGTTTTTAAGAAAAGTTCAAGAAAATCAGAATACACTTACCCATTCCAGAAAACTTCCTTTTCAGCAAGTATCCTCAGAAAAGCTACTGGTGCAGTTAGCTCCACGTGTATGACTGGAGTAGGGGAAAATAAGGAAAAAAAGATAAACATTATTTGCTCAAAATTACCACCGTCGTCCAAATCTATATTTGCTATTTTCCAACCTCCTAATTAGCAATTAATTTCACCCATTTGCAAAACTGAGAGTAAGAGTCGGGCAATATTAGCAGGATTTAAAAAACCAATAAGGTATAGTTGAAAAATGCGTAAGAGAATAAAGTTGAAAAACCCTTAGCTATCAGATACATGTCTTAATAAGCTTCTAAAATACTTGATTATGATCAGCAGCAATCATTGACTGCACTGCACAGCTCCAGTAAAAGGAAAAAAAAAGCAGCCCAGGGACTATTCTTCACCACCCCTCCCCCAATCAAGACCTCGTGGCTGCAAGCCGGGATAAAGAGTTGTTTCTTCAACTGCTGTGCTCCTGATGGCAGGCCGTTAATTTTCTCTTCTGGTGATATTACAACGACGAGCCTGCCTTTTTCAGTTCCTTTTCCCTTTGCTGCAGTTTAGGAACAGAAGACCAGGCAGGAACACCCGAGACTGCGAAGTGCCCGCCACGCTCATGGAGCCCGGGCCGGCAGCACATGTCGCACAAGGGGGAGCGCGGCCCTGCGATTCTCCGCGTAGCCGCCAGGGGGCGGCGGGTCAGAGTCGGGCCTCGCCGGACGCGGCAACCCCCCCCCAACCACCCCGTTTCCCGGCGGCAGCCGCGCGGCGACCGGCGGCGCCGAGGCCCGAGTGCGGCGGGGACGCGAGCGCGCCGCCCCTCCTTTGTGTCCCCCAGCCCCCCCGAGCCCGGCCCAGAGGGGCGGGGGCTCCGCGGCCGCGGTGCCCGTCGCACGCGGCCCGAGGCCTAAGCCGGGAACAATCGGCGGCGGCGCGCAGTCGCCGCCATGTCCCCCGCCCTCACCCCCGCGCAGCCCGCCCCGCAGGAACATGGCGGCGGGGACGCCGCTCCCGCCGAGCCGGGCCGGCCCTCCCGCGCCACACTCCCAGCGAGCGGCAGGGCGCAGGCGGCTCCACGCCGCAGCCGAGGCCGACTCCGGCCTCCTCCGAGGGCCACGGCGAGGAAGTTGTGGGCCCCGCCCCGAGGCTGCCCACGCGGGCTAACAAAGCCCACGCGGAGCGGGGGTGGCGCCCAGGCCGCGCCGAGCTCCGCGCCCCTCCGCCCACCCTCGCGCGTACAAAGTTTGGGGAACCGCGGGCTCCCGCCCACGCCACGCCACCCGCTGGCGCGCAGGTACCTCGTGGGCGCGCCCCCTCCCGGCCCGCGGCCTGCCCCATGTGCCGCCGCCGCCACCGCTTTGTTCTGGAGGCGCTTTAACTCTCGCCCTCGGGAGAAACTTTCCTACCCGGGGACCCCACGCCCCGCGCGCGCCCCGGGCCCCGGAGAAGGCACGGGCCTCGCACGTCCTCTCCCCGAGGGGCCATTGTGTGCGCCGTCCGCCCACCCGCCTTCGGGTCGGCCCAGGCAGGGTCCGCGCGGGTCCCGGGCGCGGCCGCCACGCGCACGCCGCCCCCTCCCACCCTCCCGCCCCGGCCCTGCCGTGCCCTCTGGCGGCCCGCGGGCGAGCGAGGGGGCAGCCAGATGCGGCTGCCACACGCCGGGGCGGCCAACGGCCCGAGACCCGCCCCGGCCACGCCGCCGCCGCCGCCGCCACGCTGCCCCGGGCCAGTCCGCCCCGGGCCGCTCCGCCCCGCCCGCCAGACCCGGGCCGCACACAACAGGTTTCCCTCCGTCGCCGGAGGGGCGGGCAGACTCACCAGGAGGAGTAGCAGCCACCATCTTCGCCTGGCCGGCCGCGGGCGCCTGCTCCCGCCTCCCCGCCCGCCTGCGCTTTACTACGACCGGAGGCCCCAGGCCGGGGGTGCGGCCGGCCGGCCCGCCCCGCGAGGAGAGCTTCGCGGAGGGGCGCGAGCCGCGGCGGCGCTGCGGGGGTCGTCCCCACCCCCTCGGCCTCGCCCGAGGGCGCGAAGTGGCGCGAAGGCGCAGGTCGGGCGGCGGCGGCGGCACCTCGAAGGACCATGTGGGTGAATGAAGGGCGGCGGCTCCCGCCTCAACGTAAATACGGACAAGCCCCACTCCCTCATTAGCATAAAAAACAAAGTACTTCCGACCTCCCCGCCCGCCCGCCAATCACCGCAGGCCCCGCCCACGGCAGCTCGTTCTTGGCGGCCGGGAGAGCGGGAGCCGGGAGCCGCTGGCGGCGCCGCGCAGCCTTCCCCGGGCCGCGCTCCCCCGTGGCCCGCCCACCGCCGCCCGCCTCGCGGAGCGCCTCGCCCGGACACCTCGCGCCACGCCTCCGGCACGCCCTCCGTTAACAAGCTCTGCGCGCGTGCAGACCCCCGCGCGCCGCACACCCTCCTGGAAGCGCACGCTTCCCGGGGCTTCCTGGGAGCCCTACTCTCCCTGGGACTCGACGTGTACGCGATGCGATCACAGTTTATTACTTTACTGGCCCTTGGTGGGTTTCCGAGGTAATTAGGGGCCTGCTCCATGCCATCCGGAACCAGAGAAGTAAAATCCAGTGACTTTAACATCGAAACGGAATTACTCGCTGCAAAGATCGTTTGAGACCCAGAAATAAATACATTACACCGACGCTCTTGTGAATGCACACATCGTGGCAATGTGTTTCCTTAACTGGCCGCGTGTAAACCAAAACGCATGCCTGAGCAGAGGTTTCACAGCTGCAGTACCTGAGCCTCTCCTCTCATGCCCAACTGCATTTAGTAAGAACTCTGGGTTCTCCAGTAGAAATAGTATAGCTCGGAAAGAACCTCATAAACAACCACAAAGCTGAGAAAAGAAGCCCAATCAGGAGCACCTCCTTCTTCACATTGTGGTTCAGGAAATTCCGGAATTCTCAGAAACATAATTGTTAAAACTGAGGATTCATAACATTTACGAGAAATACAGCAATTTTAAATAGGTTTAAATCTAGTAAGTAGCTACTGCAAAGCACATATCACTAGTTCGTGATTGTACAAGTCAACTGTAAAACACATGTCTTTAATGTCCCAATGTTAAAATTTTTGGCATTCAAACCTTGACAGTATTGCCGTTTACTGCCTTTTTGACTCGTTTTATCATGCTTTGCTTAAATCCAATTGTCAAACTAGTGATGACATAAAAATAGTGGATTAAAGTTTTGTTTTTGCTACTCTTTTTTAAATTAAGGGTCTGGTTTCTAGACATTCCTTGCTTTGTAAATCAAAATAAGTGGCCAAATCTGAAATTTTACAATATCTAATATTTCTGTAATATAGTCATTTATGAACCTTTCAAAGAGGAAAACACTGCTAATTTTATTACAAGTCTAATTTTACATTACTTCTTGTCGGCATTGACTAATATGTCAATGCCTTTTTCTTTAACACTTTATCTTCTGTTTTAAATTAGAATGGTTGAGGCGGGGGGGATGTTGTGAGTAAGATTGTTCATCACACTCTCTGAATCATGGGAAATCCCACCTATATACAGGTTTCTTAGCAGGAGTTATTCATCTCATAGTTTCCTTCCAATTAAAGTCAACATTGAAATACTACTAGCTTTAAAAAGCTGTTTTTAGATATCTAACAATATTTCTGTGGAAATCTGACATACAAGCAACTATTTTCTGTGACTACAGTGTAAGGAATAATTCTTAATATATATACGTTTTTTATTGTAATCAGGATTTTGGAAGGCACAAATTCATTTAAACCTACTGACTTGGAAATTCCAGAAAGTTTCAGAATTAGTAGGTTGCATTTTATTTTTAAGGGTTTCGCTCATACTTCCTTTCAAAATTAATAAATTATCTTAAGTATAATTAGAATAATTGAAAACTTTTTAATCCCAAATGAATTTGAAGCTTAGCCAACTTGATGTTTTTTGGAAGTCACTACTAATGAGAAACCTATCTTCCTCGATTTTAGGGGCCACACTTGGTTATACTTTATAACTAAAGGAAAGATTTTTGTGGTTATGATTTTGAAGATCACAAAAATATGTGAACTGCTAACAAATGCCTTCTGCAACCAAGGAATGTAAAAATAAAGCAATCTGAAATGCCAAAGTGAGACACACAGCCTTCTCAAGTCAGCTAAAACACAGTACTGTTTTACACAATCCAGAACATTCAGAACGTTTCAGATAAAATGGAAAGCTCAGTTCGACGTCAGAGCAGTTCCATATAGCCCTCAGTTTACATGGTATATAGAAAGTAGAGAATATCTGTATTTTTTACTTTTTACCCATGTATTTCAGTCTTATAGATGTTATGAATTAAGAAGATCTGAAAAGTTCTTGACCTCCTAAATAATATTGAGGATTTTATTTCCTACCTTTTATTGTTTAACTATGTCAGTATCAACTGAGTTAAATGTGTTGAATTTTTGAAAGATAAATTCAGTTAAAATGTTATGTTTTAGCATAATTGTAGGGTTGAAGAAACTAATAAAACAATAATCACATTCACATTATAGATGTGAAAACACAGGAATGATGCAGCAATCTAAGTTAAAGACAACTCCTAGTGTTATTTTAAACCTGTATTTATATATAATTTAAATAGTAATTCAGAGAGTCTAAAAATTTTCTAAGCAATTAGGTATATTTCATATTTTTGCAAATTGGCATTTTTAACATAGATGCCTATAATTATGTATTATTTTCCCAAAGCATTTGTATTTTATGGAAAAGGGATACAAATTTAAACACCACGTTGAGTTCAGAAAGTGAACTGGTTATAAACCCAGAATATTTTGGACTCTTTTGTAACGTAGCAAACAGTAATCAATGACACACATTCAATGATGTAATTTGAGATTTTTTTACAATATATAGTTATAAATGTCTGAAAAGCACAGTCTAGTCCTGCTATATTAATTATGTTTTCTATTTAAACTATTCGGTCCACTTTAGCAATTATGTATTATGTGTCTGCTCTGCTTGCACTGGTCATAAGTTATAAGGAGGGATAAGACAGAACCCATGCCCATGAAAAGTTCAGGAGCTCCAGAATATTATTGATTACCACGAATCTTTCACAAATAAGCTGAAGGTTTCATGTCTTCAACCTTTTTTTTTATTTGTTCCGATGTCTAATCCAATTATTCTTCTGATGGCAGGTTATTTTACGTCCCTAATTTAGAATTTAGAGCATCTGCATTTTGTTTTATGTTAGTAGATAATCCTGCATAACATGAATATATGAATTAATCCCTACAAATGGCATTCCAAGGTGCTGCTAATGACAATAAATTTGTAGTGAACACATAGACCATAATCATTTAACCTGATCGACTTAAGGTATTGGAATTAAGAAATTATAAATTACAGAGGGAAAAGTAAACGTGTGTGGTTTTGAATAAAGAAGCAATTTGAAGAAAATACTCTCTTTTTGTATCTTTGAAATTGTTACTGTGGTACTCTGTAGAACCAGATGGGGATAATTATTATTTAATTAAGAAAAACAGACATAATAGGTATTATTTGTCACAATAAAGAGGATACAGTTTCTACCCTTAAGGAAGTTTGCTATGCATTGATGTCTATCAGTATATATAAAGT